ACCCGAGAGTTTGTATTTAGGTTCTTGTGTAACTCTGCAAACATGCATTTCCCCACAGTTCTAGCTAACTTACAGTTTTTAGCCTTGAGAAGAATAACTTATGAATCCATAGTTTTATGCTAGAACAAATGAAACACCGTTTGCAACAATTACTCTTTGCGATGCTCAAAGGTGTCTAACATGATACCTTTAGAAAGAAAAAAAACAAATTAGATGGTTTAATTTAGTTATGTGAGGTTTTCATTATTGTGTCGATATGATAGTCACACCCTACCTCCTCGTCTCTTAAATATAGGTTGTGGTAAGACTATTGTAACTTTCCTGAAAAGGCAAGAATGTGAGAAATTGCATTTTATCTTGAAATGCAAGCTAGGTAGAAGAAAGGATTACATGCAGGCCTCGGATGGGGCCGGAGCTCGGGGGTACAGCACTCCGGGAGAGAGGCAGGGAGGGTCAGGGTGGTCACATGGCAAAGCCCCGCCCCTTCTTCCGGCCACCCTCTGCGGGGAAAATCTCTCCCCTGTCTCTGCTCCCCTGTCTCTGCTAGTCCTCCAGGCCCCATCCCAGCAGAGTAGAGCTCCTGTGGCCGGTCTGCTCACTGCGTCATCCTGTGGCCTGATTGCTGGCTCGTGCAGGAGGCGGCAGCAGGAGTCCCGGCCGTTGGGAGTGGGGCATCAGCGGGCTGATTGAAGCGGCGGCGTTTTGTTAGTCTGCTCGCCAGCCCCATGTGGGAGGGGGGTTCCCTCAGTGGCAGCGGGTGGCGGCGAGCAGCAGCGACGTTCACGGAGCACTTGATCGCTATGGTGGTGATCTGAGGAGGCAGCAGCGGGTCCCTGGGCCTGTGGAGCAGTGTGGCGGTTCTTGAGGGGGGCTCAATCGTGTGGATCTTCAACGGCGGCAGCAAGTTTCTGGGACAGATCAACTGCAAGACGGCGCACAGCAGCCCCTCGCCGTTATTTGTATTTAAAAAATATTTTTCCCGGGGTGCGTGGCTTTGCGCACCTCCGGGAAGGTCTGGGATGGGGCCTAGAGGGTGCGGGTCTCGGGGGGAGAGGCGGGGAGCTGATCCCAGGGCCCTTTGCGTGCCAGGCCCTCCCTCCCTCCCTGGTGCGGCGGGCGGCAGGCTTTCTTTCTTTCTTTCTTTCTTTCTTTCTTTCTTTCTTTCTTTCTCTCTCTCTCTCTCTCTCTCTCTCTCTCTCTCTCTCCCTCCCCCTCTCCCCATCCCT